GGTGCTTTTTTAAAGTAGTGTATCAAACTTCCAGCCCAGCAGCTCTTTAAGGCTCTTAGCTTAGTGCCACACCTTACAAAGTCTGCTATGACTGACAGGCAGATGATAACAACAGTTAATGAAAATGTTTCTGTGTTTACCAGATTGGACAGCTAAGAGTTGGGCTTTCATTATGTAGAGTGAACGACTGCTGCAACGACACAGTAAGCTGTAGGATCGATGCAACACAGCAAATACTCACGCAAATGAACCATGTAGGACATTTTCCCCAGCAGCACCTCCAGTCGAAGAACACCTGCCTTTAGATCGACAGTGGCACAGCCTGAGCTGGGTATCTGACACATACAGATGGTACAGTTACTGTGTGCACAGCTGGTACTGGTTGTACTGGTTAGAGGGATGAAAGCAACACAGGACACAAGTGGAGCTCAATAACAGTCAGGATGCACACAGTGTAGAGGGGGGGGGCATGTGAAGAGCTCCATCTTACACACATCACAGGTGGAGCGATTACCTTTCTTCTGGTGTAAACAACCAGATGAACGGTCCCATCAGTCTGGAACCAGTCGTACCTGCAGCAACAGGAAGAAGATTTTGTCACTCGAGAGCTTCCTGATCAGATGCTTTAGGTGTTTACTGTTCTTCATACCGAGGGCGAGAGTCTTTGTCTGGAAGAGGAGCCACTGAAGTCGGTGAAGCGAGGCCAGTCACAGGTGGGGGGGGTAGGATTGCTATGGCAACAGATGAAACAAGTTTGATGCAGCAGAAACTTTCAGTTGGAATAACAACAACACATCATACTAACCACGAACATTCACGACTCGATTCTCTGAGCTCAATTATATTTATGTGTATTTATTACAGATGTGCCAGTAAACTGGTCACAGCTGCATACATGTTTATTTTTTAAACACAACTATGGCAGCACCAGGATGTAGAGTCACAGCAGTTTCCACGTGTATACTTGTGAAAAGCCCCCCTACCCCCAGCTTCATAGACGTAGTTAAAGGCTGTGTTTCTGCAGAGAGTAGACGGATGTAAATCTGTGTGTACCTCTAACAGCTGTGGCAGCCTTGGTGCTCATCCTGCCCACCAGGCACTCTTTCAGCATAGACTCATAGTTGACCCAGCGATGGACCTGCTCACAAACACACATATACACTCATCCAAGTCAGCCTCACCCCAACCAATCACAGCAGATGGCCCCGCCCCTCCCTGGTTCTT